TTTGTCAATTGTGGACCGAATTTGATGATTTTTTTTAAATAGGTTATAGGTGCTTCAGGGCTGTTCCCAATAAAAATATATTCCATCTCTCAGGGTGACAAAGTAGGGGTCAAGATTTTAATGTAACTTTTTAGGCGACATTGATATTGTGATATTACTTAGTCCACTGAAAAGAGTAAAAATTACCTTTAAATAAAGTTTTCACAAAAAGTAAATTTTTTGATTATGAAAAAAAAAATTATTGATTGTTCTGCGTATGTTGTATAATCTGTTTAATTGTAGGCACAAAGAACGAAGGTTACCATCGAACGTCTTACGACTTCATATTGTCATTACTCGATTCGGTCCAGTGAGTTGACGGGAAAAAAACCTTGTCGTTGGAAGGTGATCAATCACTCGTTCCTCGTGTAGGCAAGATCAAATCTTAAATGACTGTAATGATGATACTATTTTAGACTATATATTATTAGAATAACATGTTTTTTTTCTTGTAACTGTACGTATTACTTCTTTATTTATTTATTTATTTTATTTATTTATTCTTTTTTACATCTACCTTATAATAAGGGATATAAAGGGCGGACTTAATGCCTTGTGGCATTCTCTACCAGTCAACCCTGGATGATTTGAGAAGCTGTGGTAGGTGCAACACCACTCATTAATTAATAAATAAGTAAAAACATTATATCTTATAACAAAAAGCAAATAAATAAAATATTTTTAAACTAAGTATACAAACTTAATATTATCTACTTAGTAATAAACAGAAAAAAAAATTAATAGTAAATATATAAACGGATAAAATATACTTATATATACAAAATATAAACGGATATAATATACTTATGTATATAAACAAAATATATAAACGGATATAATATACATATATATATATATATATACAAAATCTCTAAATAAATATAAAATAATATAACACAAAAATAAAATAACATGATGCATATTAAAATACATATTATACAAAATATCAATAATAATATACTTCTTGTCTAATAATAAAATGAAACGTCTCTATAACATTTCTATTTTCAAATGGCGTCAAAGAAACGCAGTAGCGTAGAAGAAACCTTTAAAATTATACATAAATTAACATGTATTTCATTTCATTACAGCCTGTCAAAAATCCTCTGTTAAACCTCCCTCATAGATTGCTCGGGTTGTCGGGATATTTGCAGAAGTTGTCACGCTTGGTAGGCGTGTTGGCAACTGCAGTTTTTTATGTTTAGTTGTTATTAGGGAAACGCTGCTGCCCATCTCCCAGTTTGTTTCCCTCTTTCGCCTCTTACGATACTCACGTGACGATATGGGATAGTGGATATTCCGACGCCATCACTACACGGTTCATTTAGTGCTATTAATAATAAACAAAAATAAATAAATAGGTACCCACAGGTAATCGAAGTATATCTTATGATATATAATTCTCGTGTCGCGGTGTTTGTTACCAAACTCCTCCGAAACGTGCGAATCGATTTGTATGAAATTGTAAACAAATTTATTGTAAACTCATAAAAATCAGCTCCCACGAGCAATACGTATTCACAATGATATCTCTCAACAATTCATTTGTGAATACATACATACAAACCGAAATTATTCCAAAACTTGGCTAGCGCGATTTAGGTCTCGATCATTGTACGTCCTGTGTACGTCATTCAGGTGCAATGACAGTGTTAATATATATCTGATATTTTGAGATCATTTTAATCCGTATATATTTAAAGTCTAGTCTACAGAAAATAATACTATATATAAAATGAATTTTTACCATATTTAAGCAATGTGGTAATGGTCTAAATTCTTTAGATTATTCTTTAATCAGACAAAAAACAATGCAACAGATTAAAAAAGCAATGGTAATAAATAATGTTCACGAAACATGTACGCTAACTGATAAATCCGAAAATAGGTACTAAAATTATAAAAGGTAGGTACTAAAATTTTAGCCGGCTTTAAATAAACGAAGAGGAGGTTAACAATAATTCGACTGTATTTTTTTGTATATATTCCTTAGTTCACTCAAAAGGGTAAATAATTTTGATAAAAAGTGAAACAACTAAAAAAAATAATTTCAGATTCTTAAGTCGCTGTTTTATTTTAGATTATTACAATACGTCTTAAGTACCGATATCATAATGTCAAATTATTTCATTCTTTTTTGTTGTTTGTTGTATGTAGGTTTTCAATTTTATTAATATTGCATTTTTTTAACTTAGCGTTCTCGAATGTCAACAGAAATTCTATAAGTTCAGTAATTATTAACCTTCGATCGTTTTCCGACCAGTTATGGGCGCCGCCTACGAACTTAACAACGCTGCGTAATAAATCTCCACTAAATATTGCTTTGTTTTTATACGTTTTTAACACGTCGATTTTAATTTCATAATTATAAACTAGTCCTTGAAACAACCATAATATACTTTTAGTACAGTACTGCATCGTAAGTACATACATACATTAAAGTGTTAAACAATTTACATATACTGTCGTAATATTTGTGTTACATTGTCTCTTTGAGTAGTTTAAAAGTCTATTTTTTAACAGTAAAACTATAGTTGATAGATTTTTTTTATTGTTACACAATATTATGGAGCAAAATAACTGACACTTGAGCCCCAAAACAGAAAATCACTTACTAAAACTGGGACGGATAGGTGGTGCTGTGGTCAATTTAGTAATAGTTTTTATTTATACTGTAAAAAGTCGGAAGTGAATTTGGAATGAAACTTATCGCCTCACCTACCGGATATTTAAATATAATGACTGTCGGGCCAGCCAGTTAAATGTAGAGCAACGTCGAGACAAACCAGTGCTGAAGAACTTACTGTCATTCATTGTATTCTTTTTCATATTGAAAGTGACCAAAGTATTTACCAGTGTGAAATAGCAGCTTAATGATGTTGTGTTTAGTATAGGTAGTGAGTGTAGACAACCGGAGACCCTTTTTACTGGAACCGAAGCAATCCATCTTAATCCTCCGAAGTGACAACGCATCTGCATTTTGATTCTTAATCGAAGATAAATTTAGGTCTATATAGGCCAAAGCATCCATTTACCATCTGGTGGACTGTGTGCTCGTTTTTCACTCTAATTCTATAAAAACATATCTTTCAATTTCTCTGGAACGTTTTCTGGTACTTATCACTGTTCAACAATCTTTATTTTCAATGAAAAATAGGTTAATGGTGTTTGCCGACAGCCACATGAGTTTCACCGAAGTGTGAGTTTTCTGACACCCACGCAGACAAAATAAATATCATTTTTGCTTATGTAACGCGCAGGTGTAACGCCATAGAAACATTGAAGAAAAACATGTTCTTCAGTACAATTGATTAGTCTTCAGTTATTGATTTATTTTATTCTTTATTGCTATCACCCTAAAGATAAAGTTTATAATGGACATAAAACCTTTTAAAGATGTTAAAAATTAATTTGCTAAGATCTGTGAAATAAAATAAAATCATGTATCTTACTAAGTTTAAATAATAATCTTAATGCCTTTTGGCATTCGATGCCAGATAATCCTGGGAAAAAAGAAGAATGTTTTCCAGTGCATAAATAAACGAAATAATAGGGCTCAGTATTTTTTTTTAATTAAAAAAAATGGGAAATAATATGTTCCACTGCAGAGATCAGGCCTCTCGTTTCTGAGACCGTTATAACGCAAGGACGACTCCGCCGCAAAGCTCCAGTACAAATTGACGGACTTAGCAACCTCGAACTATTATATTTAATCTTTATATATTATTTTATAAAAAATGTACACAAGACTTTCTTGACATAATGATATCACCAATAAAAAATAAAGAAATTCATAAAAAAAAAAGGAATGAAATATTTAAAACATTTTTTTTAAATATTATTTTGATAATAAGTAATAATATATTTACGCGAGAATTTAAAAAAATTATACATTTCCTTTAATTTTTGATGAGTCAAAAGTTTCCGAATTCGAGATTTTTCAAACATTTAAAAATTCATAACTCCGAAAATATATCAACTTTATCGTAAAAATTATAACACCTTTTTATTTGCATTTCATCAAAGAATATAAAAAAAGTTTGTGTCGTTTGAAAATAACAATTCCTTGTAATTGAAAAACACCGGTTTTAACAATATGGCGACGAGTTGCTCGTGGAAACATGCATTGGTATCATCAGTAGGACAATTTGAAGAGAATCGCATAAAACAATTGAGGTGGAATAGTTTTCGGTACTCACGCGCCGATTCTTCCTAGACTATCTTGAGACCACCATGCTCAACACAATATTAGATAATTAGAACATATTTTAAATTCAAAAATAAAATTAATTTGAATGATTGTTGACAAAAGCTTAGGCGCTGCGCAAACGTAGACACTTTTGTGTCTTGTGTGGGATACAAGCTATCAGTGAATATTTTCTTTTTATGTAATCAATATAAAATCAGTCATTCCTTGCGCAGACGCAGACACTTTTTGTGTTCAGTTGCTTCCATTTGACACAAACCGACCACCAATCAAAAAGTGTTCGCAACACATCAAATTTCCTTACAATTTTACGGCGGTGACATTGACGTTTTTGATTTGCCTGTAAATATTGACGGCGAAATATACTTTTCTCTAATTTCGAAACATTATTAGTTGACAATATTTATTGTTAAAATCACTAGAAACCTTATTTTTGAGGTAAAAAGGCCATATGGCTGGTATTAGGGGCGGGGCTGGCATTAGGGGCATCCGCCCTAGCATTGCATTTAACAAGTATTGATCATCGTCTAAGATAAAGTAAAGAGGACAGCGTGGCCAGTTTGCGAGGTATGAAATATTCCGCGGAAGTGACTACCTGACGGGAATAGCACAGTTCACGTCAAAACAGCAGTGCGACCGCGCTATCATCTAACGTCGCGCGTGTATACCAAAATAATCAGTCTACTCCTAGCCGCAGTCCGACCACGACTGTCCGCAATTCGACTTGCTAGTGCTTTTATACTACGCTTCAGGGATGACCTCGATGCGCACGCGCTCTGCATCCCCCAAGTCCGTCTCTTTCTCCCCTGTACTCGAGAGAAAGTACAGTGTAAAATGTGAACCATCCAGCCCGCCAGAGCTGAACTGTTCCGACTGGCGTATGTACTTCAGTGATTTCAGCTCATATTTAGGTGAGTATAGTGAAGCCGATTTATTTTTCGAATAATTCAGGTCGCGTTTATAGTTTGCCCTTGTGCTATTTCAGTTTCGTGTCAGTGGCGCGATCGGGAATCGACTTAGTACACAAAGTTCACGTAATCGCAATAAATATTTGTGTTGATTGGTTTCAGTTTAGTATCAGGATCCAATTTGATGGGCTCTTGGTCTTGCTTTTGGAGGCCACGCAATTCTTCATTGTAACTATAGTTTCCTATGTTATATATTTTGTAATGGAATCTATAAGGACATCTGACACTTGGATGGTTTGCAGATGCCTAGCGCTCAAATGTAATACAAACCAGCAGTGCGATTGCGTAACTCTGACAGAAATTATGCGTGGTAGACTAGAGCCACGCTGCAGCTATATTATGGTGGTAGCACGAATAGGTCTGTTCGACTAGGGAAGGACTACGCGCTCACAATAAACCAGCGTAAAATAGCAGCAACACGCTGTTGTGTTTGTATGGTGAGTTTAGAGAACCGGAGACCCTTTTTACTGGAAACGAGGCAATCGACCTTAGTCCTCAGGGGTGACAACGCATCTGCATTTTGATTCTTAATCGAAGACAACAGTAAATGTCACAGCAGTCTACTTGTCATCAGGTGGACTGTGTGGTCGTTTGTTACCTTTGTACTATAAAGTAAATAAATAAATACTTAAAATATGATATTAACATAAAAATACATCGGTTAGTACTCGATACTAACACTAAACATTATTTCAACGTCGTAAAAACAAAACGCACCAGAGTTACACAATCGCGCTGCTGTTTTTAGGAAAGCTTATTTCTTAAAAACCAGACTGCTTGACAAAAATATTCGAACATATAATTTTATATCTTCTTTTTCTTTATAAGCCCCTATAATTCCAATTCTTGACATTAGCCGCTCTAAAAGAGAATTTTGCCTTTATATTTTTTATTCATTTTTTTTTATTCGTTAACTCCACTAAGATTTTCTCATAACTGACAGTGCTCTCCGCCACCAGTGTGGGTATTTTACGTCCGACTAAACGAAATGATTGTACCGCCACCTATCGGAAGTCACAATGTTTTAATGGCATTTACAATAGTCGCCTCTCCTGACACCCACAGGAAGAATGGGGTGATGCATTCTCTTACACCGTCGCTTCTGTGTTCTCCGCTGTGCCCCGCGACTTCAGCCTCGTGGAATTTATTACGATTGCATTTCGTGTTTTTTTAATTTTTTTTGAGCAGAACTAATTTTTTTTTCTAAAATAAAAGTAGCCTAAGTTTCTCCTTATAACATCAATCATCTGCCAGTGAAAGTCCTGTCAAAATCGGTCCAGCCATACAAAAAGATAGACAGATTTTTTTTTAAATATTTTTTTTTCTTAGTACTACCATATTGCTTTCATATACTGCAAAAAGCTGTTATTTTGTCATTACAAACAGACACCTGAATTTTATTTATTTGTATAGATTATAATAATATTGTTGCGACTAATGATTGCACAGGCACACATCTGATGATAAGTGGTTGTTATAGCCCTAAAATACTTTCATCTATCTTCATACCTTCATACTTTATATATACAGACGCGTTGTCACCCCTGATGCCCAACATGGAAAGCGTTACCAGTAAAAAAGGTCTGTGGTGCTCCTTACTCTCCTTTATGACCACAGTTGCATTTGGCTACTATTTTCCGCTGGTAATCTACAGCATCTTCCTCACGTCGAGCTGAACCGTCTATACTGAAGTCAAAATTTTTGCTACCCAAAAAAATACGACTTTCTTCAATCAACTTCAAAGGAAGGTTTTTGTTGCCCTTTAAGTCTGAATTCCGCACCGTTTTTTTCTGAGTTGTAGAGATTTTCTTTGACCTTTGATTTAACATCTGACTTCAATTGATGTACGGTGGTTTCGTAAAAGTTTCCATCACCACATTTCGCTTCCTCTTTGTCGTAAGAGACGACAATGGGAAACGACATTGAAACTAATGTAAAAAAAATATGATCACTTTCGATATTCGGCGGTATAAAAATCTGGTTTACGTCAGACGTCAAAATACCCAGACCAGCGACGGGCAACAACGTCATAAATGCTGGATAACGTTTTTGCAATGAGATCGTGAATCCGCTTCCTGTTTTTTACGTGGTTGAGACACACTGCAGCTATATTACGGTTGTTGCACGAATGGGTCGGATCGACCGGAGAACGACCACACTCTCACAGAATACCCACGTAAAATAGCAGCCTAATGCTGCTGTGTTTCCTATGGTGAGTGTAACTGAGAGAAACTGAGACCGTTTTCACTGAAAATGAGGCATTCCATCTTAATCCTCAGGGGTGACAACGCATTTGCATATTAATTCTTAAAGGCAACAGATGTAGATGTCTATGGGCCACAGCATCCACTTACCAATAGGTGCACTGTATACTCGTTTATACCACTTATTCTATTAAAAAAAGTTTGACGATTAAGGATTAAACTTTCCTACAACAGAAGAGGTCCATTGCCACTTCAGCTTACTGATTAGTAGCCTGTTAAGTAGCCGCAATTCTAAATATATAATTATTCTCAAAGATTGCTTAGGAGCTATTTTTGCGGAAAATGGAACTCAAATAAGTACAAGAATTAAATATGATGCTTCTATACATATTGTGAATGTTTATATTGTGTGCCAATATACACAATCACAATTATTTACGTGATTTTTTTTAAATTTACGTGCGTATTTTTTTACGTGCCAGATTATTTTTGTGCCTATATTTTAGTAAAAATGTTATAGGTATAGGTTGCCAGAGGGATGTAACATATTTATCACAGGATACTAATCAATCTCCTCCATCTTTAAAATCCTGTTGTTACCTATTATACCAAAAGCTAAACTTACATTTCCTTATTTCGTTGCTATGTTAAAAGTATCAGGCGCTACATTGCCTGGTAAGCTTGCTGGTTTATAATTGAAAGGCGTTTTCATTATTTATCTCGAAGTAAAATTTTATTTATATTAAACATTCTGTGTTTTATTCGCTAATAATAAATATATATCCATGTTTTACTTTGATGAAAATTTGTGTGAAGTTCATGAAATTTTTTTATCTTAAAAATTAAAAGTAAAATTAATATATAATCAGAAACATTATTCATGTCAAGGAGGTTATAATATAATATAGAGAGTGAGCGCTTAGAACATTGTAACCGTTTCTCATTTTTCTTAGAAAGAGAGGCACCGAGTTTGGTATTTTATCTCCTTCTAACATTGATAAATGTTTACACAAAATAAAAACATTACCTACGTTTAGACAGTTATTGACTTAAAGTAATATTTTAGACGTATACTAGAACAATAATCTTACATTTTTTATCGCTAATCATAGTTGGTATATTCCATATTGTATTTTAATTAAGCTTATTATTAAGTAACACGAAAAAAAACACTAAAACACTTTAATGTATGAAATTTATGACTCCAAATGTCAAACAATTAAATTGTAATGTAATTTTAAATGGAGAGAAACTGAGTCTTGTAGATACCACAATTTTTCTTGGAATCACATTAGATGCCAAGCTTCAATGGAGCCCCCATATATCAAAATAGCAAGCAGACTTAGTTCTGCAGCATATGCTGTAAAAAAGATTAGAAGTCTAACCAGTGTTGAAACAGCTAGACTAGTTTACTTTAGCCATTTCCATAGCATACTATCGTATGGTATTTTGCCATGGGGACACGCAGCTGACACTGAAATTATATTTGTTTTACAGAAGAGAGCCATAAGAGCAATTTATGATTTAAAGCCCATAGAGTCACTGCGACAAAAATTTAAGGAAATTAATATATATTAACTTTGGCCTCTTAATATATTTATGAAAATGTAATGTACGTACACAAAAATAAAAGTAGTTTTACAAAAATAAGTGATATTCATTCTGTAAATACTAGAAACAAACACAAGCTAGTAGCACCAGTTACTCGACTCCATCGAGCCAGTAATTCCTTCTTGGGGCGATGTATACGCTTTTACTACAAAATTCCAGAAAATATACAAAATCTGAGCTGCTCAAAATTCAAAAACTTTAATAAACTAAGTTTGTATAAAAAGGGTTATTATAATATTAAGGAATTTATGGATGATAATAAACCCTGGAAATGAGGTGATCGCTACCAAGCTATTTCTAATTTGTTGTGTTGTTAATTTTATGTAACATACATGATTTTACATAAAACATTTTTACGTGGTAGAGCCAAGCTGCAGCTATATTAGTAGTATAGTTGTAGCACGAATGTGTCGGCTCGACCGGGGAAGGACCACGCTCTCACAGAAAACCAGCGTAAAATAGCAGCTTAACGCTGCTGTGTTTCGTATGGTGAGTGTAGAGAACCGGAGACCCTTTTTACTGGCAAAGAGGCATTCCATCTTAGTCCTCACGGGTGACAACGCATCTGCATCTTGAGTCTTTATTGAGGATAGATGTAGATGTCTGTGGGTCACAGTAACCACTTACCATCAGGTGGACTGTGTGCTCGTTTGTCACCCTATCCTATAAAAAAAATGATTGTAAGCTGTTATTTAAAAAAAAAACGTTCCGCTGGGTTTCTTGCTGGTTCGTCGCAAGACAGAGGTTTTTTTCGAACCAGTGATAATTAAACAAAAGAGTAACTAATAGAATCAGGCGTTACTTTGCGGAAATCCATTATATAAAAGATTTTACAAAAATTTACTTCGCAAATATCCGCGTTATAAAATAAAATGATGTGTCTTACAGGGCGGGAGGTGCTTCTTCATACTAGGTAAGACACATCATTTTATTTTATAACGCGGATATTTGCGAAGTAAATTTTTGTAAAATCTTTTATATAAAAGAGTAACTTTCAATAATTATTATTCATAATCTATACTGAATAAAATAGTTTCTGTTTCTGTTACACGAATGTTCTTTCCCTAAAAACTAGGAGGTGCATTTTACGCTATAGATGACAACACTATTTTAAAATTTGACGTTGTC